CTTCAGGGTTATGCAAAGCCTGGTAGCAGGCAGCATTGCATGGGAGGCCATTGCTGGGAGGGATAGCAGCAGAGAGAGAAGCTATTATAGGACTACTCTCCTGAGGTGGATGACAGTGTATACATGCTTACAGATATCAGATTCTGTCCAAAAAGTCCCTCTGGAAACTGTTTTTGTCTTTACCTTTTAGGATTGAAAAAATAAAAAGCAACAACCTTCATCTATTTTGTTTGTTTTGTATTACAATATAAGTTTAAGTCCAAGAGAGTTTATAAAATCTTATAGAAATGGAAAGTAACTGATAAAAACAAGTTTGAAAGGACTTAGGATTGATGTGGCCAAGCATTTCAGAAGAACGGGTAAAGCTTCTAGAAGATGTAGTAGGGTTTTGCCTGAACCAGGAATGTTGTCCTTACTAGAAAGAAGGGAAAATGTCTAAAACCTTTCACTCACTGGGCAGAGTGCCAGAAATAGAAACCAAAGAAGCAATTAAAGTGAACTGTAACAAAGCATTCTCTTTTTTCTCTCTACTACCGAGTGGAATATTGGTGATGGGCACAGGTCATGGGGATGAATGGCTGCTTTCCAAGACACCATGGTCCTACCAACTCCTGTTGGTAGAAATATGGCATTGACAATGACTTTAGAGCCAAGTAGATTCTTTGTGAATGGTTAGGTGGTACCTGAGCCAGTCGTGAGAAGATGAGTGTTGAAGAAGACACTGAACAACATCTTGGGAACAGAAAGTTCATAAAAGTGCTAGGAAATGGGCTGGAGAATGAAACAATCAGTGATGTGGAATTGTAAATAAAATGTGAAAGCAAATAAAAAGCAGGAGGAATGAGGGAGGCAGCAGCCACAGGGATTGAAGGTAAGTCTAGGATAATTTCCAAAAGGATGGAGATGTGCTGATAATAGCTTGATGATAAATTTTGTGTTTTATCAGGGAAGCTTGGTGCTTCCCCTGGTAACCCACCCCCAGAGCTTCTGTTCATCAAAAACTGTAGATTCTTTGGTTTAGGAGTTTCCTGAGGCAAAAATATCTTCTGGATTGACTGGAGACTTCATCAGGGTCAGATCGGAGCTGCTCTAAAGTCTTCATGATACCTGCTGTTGGTCACCTTTCTCATGTTTGAGTTTCATGTACACAGGACTTAGACTGGGACTCTTTTATATAACTGAGGAATAAAAATCATTATTGTAGATTTCATTTTTTGCTATTATGAATTATAATAATCTACCATAGGATATAAAAAGTTATGTTAGAACATTAGTGTCTTGTTGTTTTATGTAGTTATTCCACTTAATAACATAATTATAATCATTTCTGCCTTATATTAAAATATTACAAAATGCAAAGTTATCATATTTTTGGTACAAATGCAATGACAGAAGATATAGTACCTTGTTATAACTTATTGCTTTTCAAATGACAGAATTAAGTTTGGTCCTGAATTGAGTTGTAATTTAATAAGTCTTTTATAGAAAAAGTAAGTCATTAATGCAGACCTGGAAAATGTGAGTGAGGCAGGTAGGCACCTCTCCCTAGGTTACACTCCTGGAGTTAGTCTCAGTGCAGTGCTGGAGCAGCAGGGGGAAGTGTGAAGAAGGTGGACAAGGAAAAGGATGAAATGGGCTGACATTAATGGCCAAATACTACTGTTGTCTCTGTTTCTGAGGACACACACTTTTTGAAATTCTTCTCAAGGAGAATGTCTGGTTCCTCCATGGTTAGCCATTGCTTTAAGCTCTGTTCATGCCCTACTGCCAGGTCTTGTTTACCTTCTGCTCAATTACTCGGTCAGTCACATTCAACAGTCCACCCAGGAAAAGACTGGTCACTCTCAGGAGGAGTGATTGTTTGGCAGGACTCGGGTCCCATCTGGACAGTGAAATCACCTACCATGTCTTTCAGCACACAGTTGCCACTGGCAGTGGGTGAAAAATGATCCTCTGTTTGGTCCAAGGAACTTCCCAGGAGAGAGGTAACAACCTGGATAAATAGAATGATTGGCACCAGTAACTTGATTTTTACATGTTTTATTTGTTTGCAAGGGCTGTCATCATAAAATATTGTGACTGGGTGGCTTAAACAGCAGCAATTTACTTTCTGGTGGTTGGAAGTCCAAGATCAAAGGGCCCGTGGTTTTCATTTTCCCTGAGACATTTCTCATTCGTTTTCATGTGGCTATCTCTAGCTGCTTCCTCACATATCTTTTTCTGTGTATGAAGTACTCCTTGTATTTCACCTCTTTTTTATAGGGACACTGGTCCTCTTGGATTAGGGATTCATCCTTATGACTTCATTTAATCTTCATCACCACTTCAAAGGCTTTTCCTCTCTATATAGTCACTCTGGAATTTAGTCCTTCAACAAACTTTTTTTTTATTTTTATGTACTGGGGATTGAACCCAATGGCTCTTTACCACTGAACTACATCCCCATCCCTTTTTATTTTTTATCACAGGATTTCACTAAACTTAAGGCCTTGGTAAATTGTTGAGGCTGGCCTCAAACTTGTAATCCTCTGCCTCAGACTCCTCAGTCCCTGGGATTATAGTCATGCGCCACTATTCCTGGCAGCATATATATTTTAGAGAGCACAATTTAGTTCATACATAACACATCACATACAGTTTCTTGTATTTTGGTGAAGAACATCACTAGAAATGTAACATAAACAAAAAATAATCGTGAATTTTTTAAGGCACTGATATTATAGAATTGCTTATTAATTCAGCTCAACACAGGCATTTGGATTAATAATTGTGGGTTATATTTTGTCTAGGTGGAGCAACAACTTATTGTCATGCATAGAGACAGGATATCCTGAGTAGATCCTGAACTTCTGTGTACCTGCATGTAATCAGTTATGACAGATCCCCAGAAAGAATGGTGACACTTAGGTAAAAGGTACTAGATAGAATTCCAGCAATATTTAACAACTATTTATTGAGAACCCATTGTGCCATGCTATAGAGATACAATAGTAAATAAGATGGCATTCCCCCTCCCACCCAAAGCTCAAAGGAATAAAGATATTAAATAAATTAATGTATAGATTCATACTTATACTTATTTTATTAAAACTTAAGGGTTAATAAAAGTTTACATTTTTTTTTCTTTTCAATTTTGGCTTTGAAGAGGACTGTTTTTCCTCCTTCTGAAGTTTGTGTATCTGGAAATTAGTTGACAGTTACTGCATGGGCCCAGGCAAGGACTGACAGGATAGTATCTGAAGTCATATCAGCTCTTTGCAGTCAGCATTGGGAATCATCAGCATATAGACAAAACCTGAAGTTACAGAATGGATTAGACTGTCCATGTTCAGTGAGACAAATATTGGTTTAGAAGAAAAGAGGGACTAGAGCAGGGGCCTGAGAATACCACCATTGAAAGATGAGGTAAAGATTTGGGTTCATGCAAAATGACTGAGACAGAACCCCTTGGAGAGGCAGGAAGAATGTAGCACTACAGAAGACAAGTGAAAGAGAACATTTTCTGGAATAAGAGAATGGAAAATCTCTCCAAAGTTAAGGACAGGAGAATGAAAATGTGCACATGGGATTTAGCAACAAAGAGGTCATTGATGACTAATGAAAGTGGTAAAGACAGAACCAGATCCAGTGGGTTGAAGCATGAAGCACGTGAGCAATTTGAAAAGAAACATCTTATTCTAATTAATTTGGAAATATCTTTTATAGCTACAATGATTATGGAATATGACGATGGATTTCAGTAAAGAATGGAAATGCCAGGGTGTCCTGCTTGGATTTAAGTGAGGCTGATGGTACTGGTCTATCCAGTTTTTATTGGGTGAATGTCCAAAATCTTGAAAAATAGAAATAAAACAAATCACAAAAAGTTAATCAGTAAGCAATTAAAAAAAAAGCTCAAATTCTCTTAAATAATACTGAAAGTTTTGGATTCCTGTATCAACAAGTCTAGAGTTATAGTGAGCTTCATTGTGGCTTTGACCCATATTCTCTTCATTTTCCTTTTTTTCCCCCATGGGTTTGATTTATTATCTGGCTACAAATAAGATGAGCTGCATTCCTAAAGGAAGAAGAGGAAATGCATGTACACTTTGCCCATGTGATAATTTGAAACAATAATAGATGCTAGTAAAATGAAGAGCTCTATTTGGTTTAAGCCAGTTTAGAGCCTCTTAGGAAATGAGTCATATATACTGTTTGTGGAAGGATTCTCTGACATAGGAAGGAATGAAGGAAGTTTGGTAGAAGTTAGGCAATAACAATACCTATAACATTGAATTGTATGAATAACAGCCTTTGTTAACTTTCTCTGTGCATTGAAGTTTTTCCTGTAGAGAATTTAAGGTGTTATTTTAGCAGATGAACCCTGATAGAGTCAAGTCAGTGTTATAATTGAGGTTCCTTAGAGACACTAATGTATATAAATGTACTTAATTTTATTGCTAAGGAACACATTCTCTCATCCTTTCCTCTTTTCTAAAAAAAGATTACAAAGTGCTCAAAGTTATTTGCTGCAAAGGGAACTTTCATAAGTAGTTAATGAAGCTTCAGAGCCTGCACTGCAGGGTATTTGATTATTGGAAGATCTTCACATTAATCCCAAACTCCTTCTTAGCTCTCCAAGTCTATCATTAAAGGCATCTTCTCATTGTTCAATTTATCTCCACTGATAATGATCTTGATCCATCCATTTATGAGCCTACCAGTGTCTCAATGTGGGTTGGGAAGCCCATGGAGCATGCAGCATGACCCTCACTCTTCCATAACCATCCCCTACACAAAATGCTTTCTTCTTATGGCAATCAATAAATTTAAAACATCACAAGAGCAAGTGGGCTACATTTTATTTGAGACATAATTACACTATCATTTTTTCTTTGCTTTCACTACAATTACACTTTTCATACCCAACAGGACTTGAGATTTATACCTGGAGTACAATGTTCCTGGCATGTGTGAAAAGTTCACGGACACATTCTAATCATTGCTTCATATCCTCCTAGGTTACCCCTGCCCAGCCACAGTCTTGGTGAGCAGTTCTGAGTGAGCTTTCAACTTTATGCTGCCAAGTTCTTGTCTCAAGCTTAAGCTGCACATCTTTTGCCTTCTGCCCTGCGGCTTCTCTGAAGTCACAGTGTGGACACCCAGGGAGACACTTTGCATTCCCATGCCAACAGAAGAATTAATACCAAAGGTAAGCAGTTTTGAGATTCACTCTAAATAATTCCCTGAAGGTCCTGACAATATTGTGTATCTGTTTCCTATAGTGTTCACCAATTTATTAAAACATTTCTCAAATAAAAGATAATAACATTGAGGCAGAGCTTTCAGAAAATTTTATTGAACTTAAATGGAAGTCTTTATGAAATTTTATACACGTGTACGTCTATATAATCACCACCAAGATCAAAATACAGAATATTTTGAGCACCTCAGAAGGGTATTTTGTGCCCATCCAGGTTTTGAACTTCCTATAAAGAGATTCATACCATATATCCTGTTCAAGGGCTGATTTCTTGCACTATTATGCTGGAGGGTTTTCCTGTGTTGCTGAAGGTATTACTGAAAGGGTCTTTTTTACTGTTGTATAGTATTTCATATTTAACCATTTAGAAAGTATTATTATATTGGTTTTCCCTTATTTATTTTACTCTCCATGATTTCCCATTCCTTTTCCCTGGGATCTCATTCCAAATAAACTACCTTCAGCCATTTCTCCTTTTCTCCCTACATCCCTTTTCCAGGATCCTAGTGCCCCAGGGTTATTACTGTGAATTAGGAGAAAAGAATTTTCTTATTTAACACTGTTCCTTACTTTATATTGGACCCCAGAAAACTACTTCCTCACTGAAGTGTTCAAGTTTCCTCATCTATAAAATTTAAGGATTCCTGAGATGTGTTCTTGATTCAAATTCTTCAGTTCTTCAGTATAAAAGTGATCTTCTGGGGCAGATGATACCCAATAAACAGAAATAAATGTTAGAATTTTATGCAAAAGAGACCATAGGCAAGAGGTAATCTTTTATAGAGAGACTTTCTTGGTGTTCTAAAATTTCACCACTTGAGTGACGTCTGTCTACCTAAGCTGAGATAGACTCACATGGTAGAAAGGAGTCACTAGGTAGAGAAATTAGGACTCAGCATAGGGGTGGCTGGAAGGAAACAAGGATTTTGGATGAAAAAGCAATGCACAGACTATGGATTTCTGCATTTTACTTCCTCTCTTTTCTCAGGAAAGCTGAAACTATAGACCATTTTAAAGTTATTTCTGTGGCAAAATGTATCAAAAATAAGACATAAATTTTAGGAAGTTGGTTGATGATGGAACTCTCCTGAAATTTGGGGAGGAAAAAAATATCTGAGAGATGATAACACCTTCTCCCTCATTCTATGATATTTATTCACATCTGATCAGTAAAACCCTTTCTAAGTAACTAGTATAAATTGCAAAACCATTATAGTAATTGATTTTATATTTCACTGGTGGATGTCACCAAAATTTGCCCTCAGTTGATGGCATTGCTTCCATAGTAACTAGAGCATTTTAAATGATAACAAACATAAAGAATAGGAAAAAAATCAATTAGTAATATATAACTCCAATTAATGTATAAATGAGATTATACATGTGAAGCAAAAATTTTTGAAAATGAACTTAACAGTCCAACAGTGTTTGGACAGTGGGGAATGGTGTACATACTTGTTTTAAATAAATCTGAACTCTGTTGCACACATTCAAACATACCAAACTTTAGGTTTTTATATAAATAAACAAATGTAAAAGAGCTAATTGTGCAATCAGTCCTTACTTAATTATGTATTGTCTAGATTCTGTCTGCCCCTTTCTCTTATTTTCAGTCACTTCATTCTTTATTGGCATTTCTATCATAAGGGACAGAACAGAAGGTAAAATTAAAATGATTTTATTTTGCATCTCAAGAGCTCTGTCTGTGAGGACACATTAATTGCTTCATTCATTTATCAAGGATGTATTGAATACATTCCCAAAACTAATGCTCTTTGCTGTTTCTCAATTAGGCAAAGCATTTTCCTGCCTTGGTGTCATGTGCTCCAAGCTCCTTTTGTCTGAATAGCTCTCACCTGACACCTACATGGATCAATCACCATTGCTTTATGCCTTTGCTCAAATATCATCTTCTTAGAGAGACCTTTCCTGCTAATGTTTATGGAATAGCCAACTTCACTCCCACTCTGTGAGCCCTCTTCCCTAGCTGCTTTATACATCACATTTGTTATAATATCTGACACAGTCTATGTTCATTCATTTGTTCATTCAAAATAATTCTCCTCAATAAAATAAGATCAAGGGACCTAAGTAAAGATATTCTCTGTTTTCTTCTCATTTCTACATCCCCAAGTTCTAAAATAATAATTAGTACCTAGTATTTAATAGGAGTACAATAAATATTCTTTGAATGACTGAATAACCATAAGGTGAAAGAGATGGACTCTTCTTGTCTCTGAGGAATTTATTTTGAAGATCTTAATAGTTTAAAAAGAAATGAATAAGCAAAATTATAATAGAAAAATTATGTTAAGCAAATGAAATTTATAAAAATAATTATAATGGGGCTGGGGTGTGGCTCAGTGGTATCATGCTCTCCTAGCATGCATGGGGCTCTGGGTTCGATCCTCAGCACCACATAAATGTTAAATAAAGATGTTGTGTCCACCTGAAACTAAAAAATAAATATTAAAAAAATAATTATAATGGATAGTACATCATATCATAGACATCTAATCCAATTTACTGGGTGTCAGGGAAAATTTGTGGAGAGGTTGGTGTTAAGTTGAGGTCATGGGGAGAGTAGGGACATGAAAGAGTGGTCCCAAAAGTGGAATATAAACTGGCCTGACTGGACTGGCTAAGGAGCATATTTCTATGCTATTCTTTTTGGGTAGAGCATATTTTATGTGACTAGCATAGTGTTTAAAAAATTGAACTTGCATGTTCAAAGGTGGAATGTATCCTGTTCAGTTAACTCCAGGTTTCCTCACTACCAATTTCCTCATATTATACTCATAGGATTTATATATTAGGCAGACCTCAATGGTCTTTATAAGCATGAGAATCAGCAAACTCTGTTTTAGAACCTTTCAAGGTATCAAAGATTGTCTGAAATCTTGGGAAGGGGGCACAGTGAGCCTTTGTACGAATCAGAATAATCAATGTGAAACACTACTCTTATTTTACAGTTTCAAAATACATCAGATAAAATTTCATATCTTTGAATTTTATAAAACTTTAAGTAATTTTATTTTTCATTGAACGCATATATGTCTACTACTATGTTTTTAGGAGGGAGAAATGTGTATATACTATCCAGAAAAAATGTAAGTTTTGTAGTGGGCATATTTCACATGATTTTTATTTCCACACACTTTTTGTTTTTGGGTATCTAGGCTACATGGCCTGGAAGTTAGTAGTGCATATACTGAACCAGACTTTTGAGGGTTGAATCCTAGCTTCTGAAGATACCATCTGTATGTATAATTGTGGGAGGTTACTAAACCTTTCTGGACCTCATTTCTTTCCTCTGTTAAACAGGACTGTATCAGTGCCTGCTTAGTAGACTTGTTATGAGGATTAAATAATTTATGTAAATCCCTTAGGATGGTTTTGGCATTCGATAATCTCATAATAAATATTAAGACTATAACCATTTTCATTATAATTACTATAACACATCCAAGAAAATCCTGGAAGATATTTAACTTTTCTTTACAAGAGATATATTGATTATTCATGCTGCTCTCAAGAAGAGGGTGAATGTAGAACAATAGTCTCATAATTGACAAATAATGGTTTTTAAGTATGATGTCATTTAATTTAACAAAACTTGGCCAAATATGCATGTGACGTTTTGAAAATATGCTAAAGGAAGAATTTTTGCATTTTTCCTATCTTTGCCTTCATAAGTAAATATTTTTAGGCAAAAATATCTAACAACCTAAGGAATACTTCATGGAAGCAATTAAGTTATAGTGTTTTATTTATTTATATGTTTATTTTTTATTAGTTGTTCAAGACAATACAATGATCCTGACATATCATACATTTGATTCAAATAGGGAAAATCCCTAAGTTAAGAAATGCATTTGTGTGCAAAGCTCTCAAATCTGGTAAGGATTAGAAGTAGGGATCTTTGATTTTTCTACTCACTGTGTTTCTGGTAGCATTGAATGGATGATGGAGCTCTTTGGCTGTGGCCTCCCTTTCTGAGAGTACAGCAATTACCCCATGCTCATGAAATATGGAACAATCTATCTTGGTGAACATCACTGGGCTTGTTGCCAAAGGGAAACTCCCATTTATTACTAGGTTTTGGAGAAGAAAATAAGCTCTGTTCTATGATTTGGTTTACATTTGACTGTTTTGTTTTGTTTCTTCATAATCTGGATCCACTGAGAATATGGTTGGGGACTTTGGGGGGAGCGAGTGAGAATATCAAAACCTGGTTCATGTAAATCAGTCAGAATGAATGGGGATATTGTATTGTTTATAAGATCTGGCTATTCATCACTTTGTCTCCTGCCAACATGTAAGCTTTTAGAGGCTAGCATCCAGGCTTATTTATTTATTTAGAAATTTGAAACATTTAGACAATCAGCTAATTTGAAGGTTTTTTTTTTCTTTCCAAACAACTCTCATTTAGTGTAATAGTAATATGTTCTTATTCAAGAGCAAGAGTAAGTAATATACAATATGCTGTGTGAGCTAATGCACAATTACACTTTGTGGTTGAAGGAGTTGTTATAGCTCCTTAGTATACATTTACTATATACCAGGTCTGCATTCTCTCAAGGACTCTTCAGAGCTGGATAAAGGAGGAACTATTATTAGCTTTGTAACAGACAAGGAAACTGAGATTTTTACAGAGGTTCTAATAGGGGAGAAAGGAGTGGTTAAAACATTTTTAAAAATTAAAGTAATAAGTATTTTTAAAATTCAAATAGTGCAGATATATGGTATTACCCCATTCACTTCACACTCTCTTTCTACAGAAGGAGCACATCTTGGTTGGTCAGAATCATCCAAAACATTTTATAAGCATAAACAAGCACTTGCACACATAGGTTTGTTGGTTTTTTTTTACAACAAAGATAGAATATACTGCACATTTGCAATTTGCTTCCCATTTACATTTGGCTATAAATGGGTATCATTTCATG